AAATAAGATTTAATTTAGAAATGATCAAAAATCCATTTTCTGAAAAAGTAAGGAATTTTGATTATAAATATCAAATTCTACTTAACCGCACACTATGCGGTAAAGTGCACTTTACCGCACACTTTGTAGTCCACTTTACCGCATACTATGCTGTAAAGTTAACTTTACCGCACACTATGCTGTAAAGTTAACTTTACCGCATAGTGTGCGGTAAAGTGATACTTTCCATTTTCAAATACGTGCGGTAAAGTGCACTTTACCGCACGCTCGTAGGTAAAAATATTGACACTCGAAGGTGAAATTTTGTACCAACACATGCCGAAAGTGCCTTTACCGCTCTTGACGCCATGAAAACTGCTGTCGCGTGCGGTAAAGCCCTTAACGGCTTGACCGAACTCCGCTTCGCGTCGTTCGGTCAACTGCCGTTGCGTACGGTAAAGTATCACTTTCCTCATTTGTTAGGTGGATAACTATAACAGGTATATATTTATACGAGCGTTATAATAGGTATTTACGTAACAAGTGCGGAAAGTGATAGCAGTTGTCATGGCGTCAAGAGCGGTAAAGGCACTTTCGGCATGTGTTGGTACAAAATTTCAGCTTCGAGTGTCAATATTTTTGTATTTCAAGTACTTTACCGCACATGTGCTGTAAAGTGCCACCTTCCACATACTCATAGATAAAACAATTCCACGCCAGTATTTTGGCAAACAAATTACTTGCAAACGAGTTTTTTAGATTTTTCGACAGGAAAAATTAGAAGCACGAGTGGTTTTTGTTAAGAATGTTTCCTTACTGAGCAAAACAATAAATTTTGATTGATTTATTAACATTTATGAGTATTTTATTTTGTTTTCATGTCATGTCATGAAATTTTTCCACTTGAAAATAATTTTTGACCACAAAATGAGATTTTTTGATTGGTTTAAAATGACAGGAGGGAGATATTCGATTAAAATAGTTATTTGCAAATAACTTGAAAACGAATGCAGATATCGGATTGCGGTTTGCGCCAAAATGTAGATAATTTTTTGCTCTTTAAGCAGAGTTATAAAAAAATATATCATGCCATTTGGATTTTTCCAGAAAATTTAAAAAAACTGGATCTTGGTTAAATAGCGCCCTCTAGAAGACGCGGTGGGAACTATCGACCCCGAACGAAGTGGTGCTCTTAATAACAATGAAATTCTCTTTCGAATAAGCCCGAATTGAATGAATTTGGATAAGGGGTATGGAAAATACAGCAATTTTTAAAACTATTTTTTCCCCAGCTTCCCCCACCCTTATTAGTGAAGATACGAAAAAAGGCTAATAAGCAAACTGGCGCAAAAATTAACGAACTTTTGATTTCTGTTGTTAAAACAGTACCTTGATATAGCGATTTTTCGAGAAAATTTGAATTTTTAGTTATATCATCGTGATTGCGCCCCCTAGCGGCCATCTTAGAAACTTGAAAATAATTTCCATCAATTTCTCTTGGCCGATTTAGTGATGAAGAAAAAAATCCCGATGCCGTAAGGTCTATGGTTTCCATAATAACGTACCTCGTCGACTTTAGTGGGACACCCTGTATAATGTCAGAATTTGTAAGATTATCCACTTTTTGTCAATTCGCCTTTCAACAGGAATTAGTAATCAGGCCTATGATGTATCATTCTCTGCTATTTTAACAGCAACGTTAAGTTAACTGTCACTGTTTATTCTATACGACAAGTACAAACGAGTGGATTGTTGCGGAACTTATGGGTGGACCTCTGCGGGACGAGCGCAGCAAGTTCCGCAGCCATCTATTCATCAATATGTTGTTTAATAGGGAACAATCATATTTTTCAAAGTATTTTTTTTCTTATTGCTTATGTTTTCAAATATAAAATGTATATGTTTTTTTTTTGGTTTATGTCCTTATTAAAATAAAAAAATTATTTTGAATTTCAAATTATTTTCGTTGGCGCGAAAACGATTAGCTTCAAGATGGTGGAATTTGTGACGTCAACTGTCTGTAAACACAACGTTAAGGTCTGTCCTCACAAGAACCTTTGACACTTTGCAAACTGTCGGAAAGAATCGCTTAGCTTGAACCTTCGACTGCATTGAAACTTGAAAGCGGTTATTCATGAGGTATTTCCGTATTTAGTGCCATATTGTGACATTTTGTGTTTCAAATAGTTCATCATGGTTGATATAGGACTTACAAAAGCGCAGTCTGACAATCTTTCCTCTATAGACCCCTTTATGGTGGTTCAATATCAGTCGTGGCGTGACGTGAGCTGATCGTGGACCAATCGTTCCACGATTCAAAAGTGAACCACGAAAGTGTGGACCCTGGATTTACGATCAGTGTAAACTACCTTTACCTTAGTTTACGAACAGTTGACGTCACTGGAAGCAGCCATGTTAAACGTAACTTTTCCGCGCGAAACTTTTCAATTTAAAACTAGTAATTGCCATAGGACTATATTATCCATAAATTTAATACAAAACTGCTTATATTCAATATTTTACACAAAAATGTGCACCATAAAAACAAAATAAGCCATATTTATTTCTTATGAAAATTCCCTATTACGATACTAACGTGACTCACTCAAATGTGAGTAATTCTCATTAGTTTAAAAACCACATGTTTTAGGTTGTGAACAATTCAACAATATATTAGTGAGTAGATGGCTGCGGAACCCATAAAATCCGCAACAATCCACTTATTTGAACAATAACTTATTATATAAAGTCAGAATTTGTAAGATTATGATTATTCACTTTTTGTCGATTCGCCTTTCAACAGGAATTAGTAATGTTACTTTACCAAACTAGTAATATATTATGACAAGTTATTCAAGTACAAACGAGTAGATTGTCGCGGAACTTATGGGTGGACCCAGCCATCTATTCACCAATATGTTGTTCAAGTACAATACTAATCTGATTCACTCAGTTATGAATTCACTCATTAGTTCAAAAACTACACGTTTCAGATAAGTGTTTTTTTTTTTAAAAGTTCAACAGTATATTAGAGGATAGATGGCTGCGGAACTCGCTGCGCTCGTCCCGCAGAGGTTCACCCATAAGTTCCGCAATAATCCAATTATTTGTACAGGGTGTTTTTTAATATATTGACACTCCACCTACCTCCTCTACCTTTACAGGTAGATAAAAGGTGTAAATACAAAAGGTATACAGTTTTGGCTGAATTTTTAGAAACCATGGTCAGAAACAAAATTTGAATGTCAGAAATGTTAAATTTTGCATGCTTCCAGCTTTTTTCAAATGGGATGCCCTATATTTCATTCTATATTCTTGAAGAGCACAATGCCCCGATTCCAAAAATATATAGTTTGTCTATATTTGATTCAATAGTCTCTCATATATTCGGCGCTTTAAGCTGTGAACCATTCTACCTGTGCAGGTAAAAGCTGCAGGTAAAATTTGAGGTAGGTACTTGGTTTCTCTGATAGTATTTTTAAAATTTTTAGAACCAAATATGTTGGAGCCGACTCAACCAAATATAGACAAACTATATAATTTTGGAATCGGGAAATTGTACTCTTCAAGAATATAGAACCAAATATAGGGCATCCTAAAGGTAGTGCATATTTAATAGGAATATCTCATGTGTCGTAATCTTAATAAACTATTTCTCATAAGTAGTATTGGTATTTGATTTTCTAATGTAAGTTTTCATAGTCTAATACACAATCTAATAATTTAATGATTTGAAAAAACTTAGTTAAAATAATTAATTGAGTATACCCTAATGGTTTACCCCTTTAGGGCCAAATTATAGACCAACTGGTGTGTCTGGTTGTTAGCTAGCAGATACTTTCTATGCACTAGAGAATAGAAAGTATCTGCTAGGTAACAACCAGATACTTACCAGTTGGTCCATAATTTGGCCCTTAACAAGGCAACTTATCTGTCTACCGATTTCTACTGATTTTTAGACTGGTAATCTACTGACAAAACAAAATATGACCTGGCAACACTCGCCTTAGGTATGTTCGCAGTGTTTGCACAGGAATTGATACCCAGTCAGAGTGAATTTCATTGGTTGAAATTAGTTTTCTGAATGTTTCTGAGGTTTTCAACCCATAAAACTAGCTGGTTTGTGATTTCTATGAAACAGACCTTTCATTTATTTATTTACTTGTTTTATTTTATCGATATAAATGCCGCCTCAAATTTTGCCGCTCCGGGCAAATGCCCGGGTTGCCCCTCCCTAAAGCGGGCCCTGTGGATTTTCATCAGTTTTTCGTTTATTTTTAGGCATCTTGCAGACAGCTATGGTAGACAGCGTCAATGAGACTAGAGAAATAGAAGTACAGTTCCCATGAGGATGGTAGAATTATCTGAAACTTGTAGCCCGATATTGGTTACACACGGGGAACAAAATAGACGGGGATTGATACGAGTGAAAGAGCTGTGGACATCGCAGCCTAATTGTTGATTATGATGAATCTAATCAAAGGCTGATATTTTGACACTTTTCCATGACAACCGGGAAAACTTCCGGGAACTTTTCCCTTGGTGGGCACTCCGGGTCCTTATTCTTGAAACAGGGAAGCAGCGTTTCCAGGAGAACGAGTGTTCCGTCTTTTTCAATGATATGCAAATGTTAATATAAGTAACAAAGACGAAACACTCGTTTCCCTGAAACGCTGCTCCCCTGTTTCAAGAAGATGGACCCTGGGCGAACTTACACTGGAATTATTTTTTGTCACTGCAAATTTCTATGACTGGTAATTCTTATTCATGTCTTTCAGGTGCAAAAATAATAAAACTTTGGTGTAAAATTTTCTTACCGAATCTCCCTTGTTCTTGAATTAATTACAGGAAATTTTCATCGTACACGATGATTTTCGCGTAGGTACTCAAAAAGCTTCCGGTAATAATTCAATCACTATATCTACTTGAGATATACTTACAGCCAAGAAAACAATAATTTTTGAACAAAAATAAAGCTTCAGTAGAACTTATAGACAATCGATCCACAAAATAACTCATACCTGTTGGATGAAATTGAATAAACTCCAAATCCTGTAAAGGCAAACCTGCTCTGGTAACCATTGCAGAACCATCTCCAGTGGAGGTAAAAGCGGCAGTACAAGAAAAGTAGGCCCTCTCGAAACCACCAGTCGCTATAACAGTGTTCTTAGCCCAAAACTTATGCATACAGCCATCTTCCAAGTTCCAGGCTAAGACACCCAAACATTCTTCGTCGGCCATCAGTAAATCCAGAGCGAAATATTCAATATAAAACTTCACGTTGTGCCTGCAAGCTTGTCCATAGAGGGTGTGCAACATGTAGTGACCGGTGGCGTCTGCGGCTGCGCACGTTCTATGCGCCTGCCCACCAGCGCCAAAATTCAAAGTTTGCCCGCCGAAGGCTCGCTGATAGATTCTGCCGTCTTTCGTTCGGGAAAATGGCATGCCGAAATTTTCTAGCTCTTGGATAAGTCTGGGGGCTTCGCGCGTCATATAATGGATGGCGTCTTGGTCACCCAACCAATCAGAACCTAACAGATTATTTGTAAAAATTAGTTTCTTGGAAAATACCTACATATTTTACCTTTAACTGTATCGTAATGATGCCAAACCCAATAATCATCTTCGAAGGTACTTATTGCAGCATTCATTCCTCCTTGAGCGGCCACTGTATGAGATCTCGTTGGGAATAGTTTCGATACACACGCAACCCTGAATCCGGCTTGTACTAAACCAAATGCTGCTCTAAGTCCAGCCCCTCCTGCTCCGATTACTACACAGTCGACCTCGTGATTTATTATGGGGTACTTTTGTGAGATCTGTAAATAAATTGGGTTTATGGAACTTTTTTAGTTGATGGGTTGGTAACACTCACTTCTCCGGAACCTTGGACGCATCTAGGACGTGTCGCATATCTGCGCGAGAACAGTTTGTTTAAAAATTTGATTGATTTTTGCATTTTATTTCGGATATAATGACAAATTGTGTTGACAATTTTTGTGACGTTGTCAAAGAAAAATTATGGTTACTGGTGGTTATTTCCCTAAACTAATCTGTGCCTAAACCTAATAGTTAATTTATTATAATGGGATATTGAAGAGCTAAGTATCATCTGCAGCCAACGCCTCCCTGTGGTAGACAACTGCCTCGAAACCAGCGAATGAAACTGGATTGGAATTTCAACTTCAAATTTCAAGCTATCCCCCAGCCGCTGGACAAATACCCAACCATATTCGAAGCTAAATGGCTTGCAATCAACATAATGTGCAGAAGGGTCAGATAGCCAAGAAGTTAAAGTGCACTTGGACCAAGTAAGTTGGCATCCAGACTTAGGGAGGATATTCTAAAACTATTTCGATCGATAACTAAAAGTTAACCTCTGGAATTACTATGAGAAGTGGTGCCATTCCAGAAGTTACCATTTAGTTATTCTCTCAAAATATTTTTATTCCTTATCCTTAGGACCTATATCCAACTGGACTTAGATAAAGCCGTTAACACGGTACCCAGTGTTGGATGAAGTACTTACCCTTGGACGCTGAAAGCGCCACAATCGGACGATACTTGGATCGTATCGACTGTTATCTCAATTCCAGTTGGATATATCCTAATATCCAAGTAAGTAGGCTGGGTGCCAACTTCGCGCAGCGTCCAAGGGTATACTTGATCCAAGATTATTGAAATATCATTTGACCCCCCAAAGTATTTACCTGGAAAAAATATGTTTATTCCAGATTCAACAGATTTTTAAGATGATTTTCAAGTAAGAACAATCATAATAGCTTCAGGCTTCAGATAAAAAATGCAATATGTTCTTATGCAGATCTTGAACTTACTGCAGCAAAGCAAAATTTTAATTAAGAAATGGTTGATCTGATCAAATGTCTTCAGTTAAACGTGAAGCAAAACCGTATCACCAATATAAAGATGAAATTTTAAAATTGGATGAATTTTTATTTAAAGGTATTAGACTAATGTTTGTTTCACGAGGGTTTGTACATACTTTTGACATCATTTGCCTGAAACAAATCAGGTTGTTCCAGTCAAATTTTATTTCTTAAAAAAGGAAGGCAAATATGTCAGAAGTACAAACCCTCGTGAAACAAAGAGTACTTTCAATCGCTCATTTTTACAAAGGTATTAGAAACTAGTGACATCAAACCTATTTACCATTGTTGGCTTGGTTATTTATCGACATTTCACACCATGCACGCTGTTATCATGGTACTTAAGACATAAGTTAAATTTATATTGTTATTTGAACAAAAGGTATTGAGGTATCTGGTTTTTAGAACAGGTAATACAATTTTTAGTAGCTATTTTATGATATAAGTATTAAAAGTAAGTAGGTACATGAAAGTTTGCAGAATGAGCGAAGCGAATGACTTTTAACACAAATATCATACAATAGTTTTACAAAGGACAATAAAGAGCAATAACAATGAAAAATTAAATTTGAAACCAGGTAGTTTTAAATACCATCGTAAAGTACCTATATAAAATTATTCAAGTTAACATTTGTCAATAAAACCTAACCACCATTGTTGGCTTGGATGTTTACGGAATATTTTGAGTGCTTTGGAGGCACCATAATTGTTATTAATGATACTAGTTCCATATGAACAAAATAATGGAACGCGTGAAACTTTAATCCACGAGGCGTTGACCGAGTGGTTTAGTTACACGAGTTTCATTATTAGGTTCATATCGAACGCATCCTTAGAGAACATATATCATTCAGAATTTAATCTTCGATGGAGCAAATAGATTCGATTTGCGATATGCCTTGGAATACCAGATTGATTTCTTTTACCAAAAGGCCTCGGTGCCAGTTTATTCTAAACTGTTTTGAGGTCTGAAATAAATAAATTAAAAAAAAAAAAAAAAAAAAAAAAAAAAAATTGAGTCTTGCTCTTGCTAAATTATAAATTATAATACACTATTAGCAAGTGCTCATTTTAGTCGGTGAACATGCTTGTTGATTGTTGGTATTTTGACCGGGGTTCACATTGAGAGTGCTTCCTCTTCTTCTCCTACCTTTCCTATCCGGTCACCCATGACCGTCTTCTTTTATCATCTTTTACAACTTGGAATGGGAAAAGAGTTTTTCTTCGACCGAGGTAGTACCAATCCTCGCTTCCATTCTGGTCCTGTTAAATGGATTCGAATTGTCTGGACCTGGAACGTGACTTTCGATTTTCAACCCTCTTTCCCTTTCCCTCTTTTATTTTTATCCTTCTTTTCAATTTTTTTTATATCCTTATTAGATTACAAATGATGCAAAGAATTCCGGAGTTAAAATACCCTCCTATTCGGATCCCTGGGAGAGGTTGTCTACATCATAGAGGAGTCTACATCAAGTTTAATAACTGAATTATCTGCATCAACATCTTGAGCACAAAAATCCACACATGCTGGTCATAACGGAGACGCAAGTAAAACCTGTCAACTCAATCTCCTATATTCCGACTGTGGAATTCATTCGCGATGTCGTTTTAATGGGGAAACCCATCCGAACTCCGATACTCCGATATTATATATTCTTAGGAAATTTTAATGTTCATGACTCAGAGTGGCTTAAGTTCTCAAACAAAACAACCCATGCATTGCTGAAGCATTTGCCATCTCACCCGCCCTAACCCAGTTGATAGAAGATCCCACACGTATTCCTGATTCCGATTCTCAACAGGTCAATTCATTCGATTTGTTCCTTATCACTAATCCCGATCCTAAGCTCGATGTGTGGTGACTGGAAAGGCCTAAAACTCTTTTTCTCGACCTTTCCATGGTCCGATGTTTCCTCTAATAAATCAAAAGATTCCTCCGAGGCTGCATAAGAGGTTATCGAAATATTTGCATTAGGTAAAGTATTAGCATTAGGCAATCCAAACCACGTGACATTCAAGATGGCATGGCAGCCACACATGGGACAAAAAACAAAAAAACTACTAATTTCTGTCAGACTTAAGCAATTTGGGGTGATTTATCAATTTTTCAATTTTTCTGAGTGCTTTTTTTTATAGATTTAGTAAGAAGGCAGCTACCTTATGATTTAGATTTTGGAAAATTTTGAAAGGTAATAACTTTTTTTCTATTATAGATAGAAAGCTAAAATTTTCAGCGATTCTTATTCCAGTAGAGGACTACAATCCCTGAAATTTCAACTCATTTCGACTTATAGTTCCTGAGAAAAAATCGTGTTAAGCAGTTTGGGGTGATTTATCAATTTTTCAATTTTTCTGAGTGCCTTTTTTCATAAATTTCGGCTTTAAATCTGGGAATAACTTGATGTATGGATTTCGGGGAATCCCAAGTGATCATTAGGATACAAAATCTCAACAAAAAAAAAAAAAAAATTGAAATTTCATCGTTCTAGTAAGAAGGTGATGGTTTAGATTTTGGAAAACTTTGAAAGGTCATAACTTTTTTTCTATTATAGATAGAAAGCTAAAATTTTCAGCGATTCTTATTCCAGTAGAGGACTACAATCTTTGAAGATTTCAACTGATTTGGACCTATAGTTCCTGAGATAAAATCGTGTTAAGCAATTTGGGGTGATTTATCAATTTTTCAATTTTTCTGATAGTGCCTTTTTTCATAGATTTCGGCTTCAAATCTGGAAATAACTTGGTGTATGGAGTTCGGGGGATATCAAATGACTATTAGAACACAAAATCTCAACCAAGAAAAATTTGAAATTTCATCGTTTTAGTAAGAAAGTAGCTACCTCATAATTTAGAATATGGAAAACTTTGAAAGGTTATAACTTTTTTTCTATTATAGATAGAAAGCTGAAATTTTCAGCGAGTCTTATTCCAGTAGAGGACTACAATCTTTGAAAATTTCAACTCATTTGGACTTATAGTTCCTGAGATAAAATCGTGTTAAGCAATTTTGGGTGATTTAGCAATTTTTCAATTTTTCTGAGTGCCTTTTTTCATAGATTTCGGCTTCAAATCTGTGAATAACTTGGTGTATGGAGTTCGGGGGATATCAAATGACCATTAGATCACAAAATCTCAACAAAAAAATTTTTGAAATTTCATCGTTTTAGTAAGAAGGTAGCTACCTTATGATTTAGATTTTGGAAAACTTTGAAAGGTCATAACTTTCTTTCTATTATAGATAGAAAGCTGAAATTTTCAGCGATTCTTATTTCAGTAGAGGACTACAATCCCTGATTTGGACCTATAGTTCCTGAGATAAAATCGTGTTAAAGAGTTTACGTACCTACCTAGTCAAGAATATTTTATTTAATAATCAAAATCAAAGTTGCAAGCAAAATAATCAAAATACGCATAAAAAACACATATTCAAAATAAACTTGCTTGGCCGCCACGCCATATTAAATTTTTATTTTGACAGATGGATTGGATTGCCTAATTGTACATTCCACATTTCAGTTTATAATCCTATAACTCGAATGAAAATGTTTTCTTCACATACACCTTTCAGTTAATTTCAGATATTCAGATTACTGCATTTGACATAGAGATATCGCTCTCGGAACTCGACATGAACGAGAGAGAGACGGCCCTGATGGAATGCCGAGGCGTTTTTCCGTCTATCTGGAATTAGTATTAGCAATTATCGTCCCATCTCACGTATTTTCGAAAGTAATGGAAAAGGCAGTCAACCTGAAACTGGTTACATAACTCGAAGCCAATAAGCCATCTCTGAAAAAATTGACTGGTTTCGTCCTAAAAGATTAACAGGGGATCTGATGGCGTACGTCAGATTTGGAACTCGACTCTTGAAAAACATGCGGCGAATCCAGACTTTTGATACACTGCTTATGAATTCAGGCACTCCCTAAGGCCTAATTCTGTTCCCAACAATGTTTCTCCTTTTCATTAATGATGTGTAAAATGTGACAAGAAACCCCATACTTAATATACATGATTGCGGACGATAGAAGCTTGATGGCATCTTGCTCTTCTGACAAACCGCTTAATGCAGCCACTTTCACACGCCTCGGCCGAAAATAGATTCA